ACATCTAATTTTCCACTTCTTCCTCAAGCAGCCAGTAACATAACTGGACATAATAGTTCTGCAGCTATTCCATTACTGTAATACTCATTATTTGATGCTGCTACATGCACGTGGCACTCCCCTGTCCCACATGCAAGGATCCCACCAGCTCACTGGGCAGCAAAAAGTGGGTGCTCCTGGTCAGCCAATATCCCTGAGACACTGGCAATCCCAAATCTTTCTCCAAGCCCTTCTGGCAGCATGAGTGCCTCAGCCACAAGGCACAGGCTGCTCTATTTGTCTCTCTATATATGATCTTTGTGCCTAGCTCAAAGGGCAATTCCAATTGCTCTGCTCCCTTTGTGACTTCCATTCCCCAGCCTCTGTGCCACAGCCCACCTGCAGAAAATATTTTTCTCCTCCAACACATGAAGTGTTGTCTATCATATAGGCAAAATCTGATCTGTGAGGCCATAACAGCAACCCTCCATCTTTAGCACATTTGCTTACAGCTCTATTTTGACAGATAGCAGATAATTTTTGATTTATTAAATAATGCTCTACTGTATTTATGTTTAATATGCCTTATACAAGTCTACACATATCTCAAGAAAGGGCCTTAAGCTCTGTCAAAACAGGGCACTATTAGCCCTGTTCCCAGACTGGGAAGCCCATTACACAGAAAGGGGATACAGTTTTCCCTTGAAGAGACACTGCTCAGAGGCAAAACTATGAAAAAAGCCAATCTTCCGACTTTTGATTAATGGCTGTACTCACTAGACAGTGTGACCTTCAGACCATTCCAAGAAGTATCCATCTGTGGTAAAGAAATTACAGAAATGAAAGAACATTTCTGCATCAAAGGCTTCCTTTCAGCACTGACTGGAACAGAAAATGTGTCACTGCTTTGACATAAAACACTGGAGAGAGAAAGGGCCCACCTTGCAATCTGTTTATTTGCATATACAGGTCAGGAAAAGAAAACTCTCCCTTCTCTGTGTGCTGGACCTTCTTGAAAGTTTAATGATTATGTTTATCTAGAAGTTAAACTTCATTAAAGGTTTCTCTGAGCCAATCTTTGACTCCAGTGTTTTCACAGAACACCCCACACAATGAATGCCATTCCACGGGCAGGTGCAAGTAAACAGCATTGACTTCAGCTTTCAAGCATGTTATCATGGGAAAGAAACAACCTATTTTGGGAAACAAGCAAAAGAGCTTAAAAATCACAGGTGGAAAAAGAATAGACAGAGACATTACTAAAAATTACAAATGTTGTAGTGAATTATTTAGGTGTTATATAATAAAAACTGAAGGTTTTCCTTTATGCTTAAACAAGCAGGCAGCACAGAAGCAAAGAATATACTTTTCCCACCTACAATAAAAGATTTGCTATCACATGACGCCAGGGAGGTTAGACACAGACAGACTCTAAAGAGGATTAAACAATCAGTGGGGGACAGATCCATTAGCAATTACGAAGCAGGATGGCCCCAAATCCAGCTTTGGCTGAGAACACTCCTTAACTGCTGACTGTCAAGAGAAGAAGGGACCCTTCCCCACCCACCTTTTCTCTTGGCATTTCGTTCCCACCATCTGCTATAGGAGCTATCCTATCAATAGCTGCAAAGCACAAACGATGGCCATATTTTCCCCACTGAACAATGAAGCCTTCTCAGAACCATGAGAAACCCCGGGATGACGGCTGGGAAATGGAACCGTCAGGAACTCGCAGAGCGTGAGCCTGGAGCGCCCTCTGGGGGTAGAGGCGGGCGTGCCGCGGATCCCACAGCCCTCCCTGGAGGCGGCCTGGACCGAGCCAAAGCCGGACCAGAGAGCCTGCAGTCACCCGCGCAAAAAAGGAATGACATATCCACGGCTGGGTGAATACTCCTCCTCTTTGTCCTGTTTCTCCCAAAGCAAGAACTTGAACTTCTTGCAAAAAAGCAAAATTTCGAACTTCTAAAATTTTAGAAGTTCAAAAAAATACTTGCTTTGGGAAAAGGTCTTTCTTCTCCATTACTAGTGAGGGAGCAGTGTTGAGAGAGGGATGCCTCGACATTACAATAATCGCCTAACAAGATAACTCATTGTGCACACCCCATAACTTTGGTTCAAACTTTCCCAGTGCAGGAGCCTGGCTCTGGTGCCACGGGAGGAAAGGTGGGAGGATGCTGAGTTCCAAGGCCCTCCCAAACCCACTCAGCACTCACAGCAGCCAGTCCAAAGCTTTCCTCCCTGACTGGGACCTGCTCTTTCCCTGCTTCTGGCTGCCTGTCCCCTTCCAGCCAGATTCCCATGGAGCAGCAGAACAAAGCCACATGTGCTGCACAAACATTCCCGCAGGGGGAGAACAGGAGAGGGCTCAGCTACCAGAGAGAACCAAACAGATCACATGGGGGCAAATTTCACACAGGACAGAATGAGGCAGACAAGGGAGCTTCTCTCTCTGCGTGTGTCTCTGTCCCCAGGCCTGAAACAATGCTCGTGGTTTGGGTCATGCTGTGTTTAATTTCATGCCATTACCAAGGCCCTGGAGCAAGAGTCATAACCCTGCTGTTGCAACCAGAGAACAACATGTGTGTCATAAACATGGCTTCCCTTCTCCTCAGACTCAAACCAACACACAGGAGCACCTGCAGAAGCTACAAACAGAAAATTAGGAAGAAAATTTTGAAGCTGCCTGTGTATCTGCACTGAGTCAGTTTAGGGAGTCACATTTTCTCAGCCAGAAACAAGACACGTGGCTTGTGTGTGCAGTCACAGATAAACTTGAACCTGGGATAACAATTAACTGCTTCCTAAAGAACAGAAATTATCTGGTGAAAAGTTTCAGCACTGCTGCTTTTAAGAACACTGCAGACAAATTCTAAACAAAAGATAAGCAACAGATGCAAAGAACTTTAACATTTCTGAAAGCAGGTACTTGCACTGCAGTTTTCAAGTCCAGTGAAGGGTGAAAAAAATTACTCTGATGAAACAAAACATAGACAAAGCCCAACCCAAACCCATCACACAAAGTCAGAAATTACCAGCCTTTCCTCCAGCAGAAGGAAAGGATCTGGACGCCCCTTTGTGCACAGGTTACACACAGGACACAGCTCCTGGAAGCAGCACCAGTCTACAGCCATGTCCTGCCAGGTGCTGCTCAATAGTTGGATTTTGTCCCCATGGCTCTCCTGTCACAGGAACCTCCCCAGCACATCACAAACAAACTCTCCACAGAGCTCCACTCCTGAATCATTATCATGAACTTCTGGTCTTCTGCAATAAATGTGCTAAAAATGTGCCTTCATAGTAAGTTAAGTGACACAACAAATAAAGTTTTGCCAGAGACAAGTCTGGGTTAAGCTGTTTACAGTCCATTTTTGCACCAGGATATGTTCAGTGGTTTCAAACACAGCACTGTACTCCAGTTTGGGCCAGCAGAGATGCTTTTACAAAAATCAGGCATCTGGGATCAATTAACAACATTCTCAAGCATTGGGCAGCCCAGCTTCTCCCCCACACAATAGGCCTTTGTTTTGAGCCTGGCACTGCATGGGGTGAAGAACCAGAGCACAACTCCAGAGGAAGCCTCACCAGAAGATATTTTGACTTGCAGAACATACAAGTTTTCCCTGATTTCAATGCTCCCATTGCATCCATGAACTAATTGGGATTTGGAGGTTGGAAATACTCTCTTGGATCATCCAGAGCAGAAATACTGTTGACAATAACAAAGGCAACCATTGCTGGCTCCAACTGGCAAAATTATTCCTTGGAGTTCCATCTCCAAACTCAATCACTACAGAATGATCAACCCCATCCAGGCAGAGAGCTCCCAACTTCTCTGGACACAAGTGTCAGCACTATGATTTAGGGCCCAGAAGATTCTCCATGAAGTGCTGCTGATGCCCCACACCAAACCAAGACTCTGGTTCTAAATATTCTTCCTCTCTGTGATTTGAGAGGATGTCTATGCTGTAGCTGTGCTGATTCCCACTAAAAGCTCTGGAACCTCCTCATGGATTTCAATAGCACCCTTTTCTTTAAAGGGCACAACAGAAGCTCCAGTTGTCTTTGTCCTTAAATTTCTATTTAACTTTTGCCCGTTACAACGGGCAAATAATTGAAGAAAGGACTACTAGACTGAAACAGGTTTAAGTTTCTGGGACTCATCTCCACTTCATCTCCAAAAGAAAACAAATTCTCAGAAGGTAAAAAAAACCCCAAACCAATCCAAAATAAAACCAAACAAAAACCCACCTTGTAAATCCTAAGCTTCCTGAGGACTAGTGAACAAAAAGGTTTCCTTGCTAGGATGGCCCATGTGCTGAAAGTGAAACTAGGCTACTGTCAGGGCAAGTGTCACCAGGTAGATCTTAAGCTCTTCCATAGCAGTAGGAATGCTGGGGAACACGGGAGTTTTAACTTGGTCATGTATGGCTGTCCTTTACATTCTTATGACTGACAGTCACATTTAGTTCCAGCCCAGCTCAGAACTTACCTTTCAGTTTCCTGTATTTGTCCAGAAACCACCATGGAGCCATGAGACAGACAGTAGGTGCCACTTCCTACCAGCCAGCACATGGACACTCAGGCTCTCTGGATTGCATTACTGTTTTCCTGCTATTGCAGGGTTCTGCTGGCAACCTCTGGACAATGTTTAGATTCCTGTATACTCTAAGCCACTGGGATATAGCAGTAGATATTTTGAACTTCTCAGGAGTCCTTACTATAGCAGAACTAAGGAAAGCAAAGCCACATCCTTCCATCAATGGCAATTGATTTCTGTGTAATTAAGAGATACATCAGCTTGCAGCATCCCTTCCTCTGAGGTAGGAGGCAAAGGTTACTAGCATCAGCTCCAGATCACAAGCTTTGAACCACCTCCATTCTAAAAGAAGTGGAGTGATATGATTTCCCCATCACTGCAGCCTCACAGCACACAGGATGCTTTCACAGCAATGCCCTGATTGTATCGTGCCACATACCTCACACATCCAAGCCCGCCCCCACCACGTTCCCCACATCCATACCTCTGTTTCAGGCCGTGGAATAAACACTGGGGGTCTCATCTGCAGGGTCAGCTCCTGGAAGTCCCACTCTCCAAGCACGTACTGCACTGGCATCCTGCGGTGGGCAAGGGGAGCGTGAGCGCTCAGGGGCTGCGCAGGGTGAGCGGGGGCGCTCTCATGGCACCCTGCTTACCACAGCCCCTGCCCAGGGCCAGCAACTGCATCAGCAACGTGCATGGGCACACTGAGGGAGCAGGGCAGCTCCCTGCCCACAGCCCAGTCTGTCACACTGAGGGAGCAGGGCAGCTCCCTGCCCACAGCCCGGTCTGTCACACTGAGGGAGCAGGGCAGCTCCCTGCCCACAGCCCCCTCTGTCACACTGAGGGAGCAGGGGCAGCTCCCTGCCCACAGCCCAGTCTGTCACACTGAGGCAGCAGGGGCAGCTCCCTGCCCACAGCCCAGTCTGTCACACTGAGGGAGCAGGGCAGCTCCCTGCCCACAGCCCGGTCTGTCACACTGAGGGAGCAGGGCAGCTCCCTGCCCACAGCCCACTCTGTCACACTGAGGGAGCAGGGCAGCTCCCTGCCCACAGCCCGGTCTGTCACACTGAGGGAGCAGGGGCAGCTCCCTGCCCACAGCCCGGTCTGTCACACTGAGGGAGCAGGGGCAGCTCCCTGCCCACAGCCCAGTCTGTCACACTGAGGGAGCAGGGGCAGCTCCCTGCCCACAGCCCAGTCTGACATCAAGCACTGGAACTGGGAGCTACAGGTCAGTCAGCCTCACCTTGGTACTGGGGAAGGTGATGGAACAGGGAGTCCTCGAGGCTGTGTCCAAACATGCCAAGGGCAGGGAGGTGATTGAGACTGGTCAGCACAGATGCACAAAGGGGAAATCACTCCTGAGTGAGCTGATAGTCACCCATGACACAATGACCAGTCTGATGTATCAAAACCAGATCTTGATCTTCCCTGGGGTTCTGACACTGTCTCCCATAACATCCTCATGTACAAGTTGATGCAGTGCAGACTGGATAAATGAGGTGGGCTGGAAACTGACTCAAAGTCAGGCTTGGATGGCTGATTTCAGCAGCACAAGGCTCAACTGAAGGCTGATTTCTAGTGGAGTATCCCAAGATTGATATCCCATAATACCTTACTGGTCTGGCTAAAGGGACAGAGCACCCTTGCCAACCCTGCAGTAATAGATTTAATTGGGAGGAGTAGCTAACAGGCGAGATGGGTGTGCAAATTTTCAGAGACACCTCTGGAGAAATGGGCACAGGAATCTCATAAAAATCAGTAGGGAGTAATATGAAATCATAAACTGGGGAGGAATAACCCCATGCACCAGTACAGGCTGGGGCCTGACCAACTGGACAGTGGCCTTGCAGGTGGATAAGCTGTGGCCCTCATTTGAATCACCATGAGAGACCACCAGAGCACAGCTGACATGTGAGCTGCCTCCCTCTGCTGCCATTCTCCTGGCTGCTTTAGGCTGAAGGAAAGCCCTCCAGAGGAACATGTACAGGAGGATGCTCCTACCTTTGGAGCCGCTTGTGGCTCAGCTGCTGGATTTGCTCCTGCTGCTGTGCTGTAAGTGGAGCGTGGAGGCTTTTGGAATCCAGACTCTGAAACTGAAGACAAAGTCACTTTAAAACCTGCCCACCTGTGCCACTGGAGGGTCCTCTGCCACAGGCATCCTCAGGGTGACACAGGATGCTGGCAAACACAATTGCCTGGGACTGCTAGAAACCAGCTGGAGACCCATCAGAAGAACTTATCTGCATGTTTAGAAACAAACCTTTACTACTGTTCTGCTACTTTTTGGGGTTGACAAGAACAATTAAAATTAAGAATCACTTCATCAGGCAAGTGAGGGTGGATGTTTATGTTACACTTCAGAGTCTGCAAAAGAGATTTTAAGAGACCCCTGAGTGTTCTACTGGCAATAATACACTACCCCTCAGCCCCTCTGCCATCTAAGGGAGGATAAGTTGTTCTACTCCCTCTAAATGAGATAAAAAAGAGATTCAGTCAAAATGAAGAAGTGAGAAGCACACACAGACATTACTCTTTTCCTATTACTTAACTGTTTTTGCTCCCAGGACAAATGACACAATATATTGACTGGATTCTCGTGCTTCAGGGATCCCATTTGTCTCAAACTCCTTCTGCCAATAGTTGACCATATCAGTGGCAGTCACGAGCCCAGGTCCTGCACTGCAGCTCTGCCTCAGAAACAACTGCTTTGGACTGAGCACAGCACCTTTCCTTGGAGTCCCCAGTCCTGGCACACACTGGGCTGGGAGCCTCAACAACTTCCTGAGCAGTGGATGGGTGAAGCAACTCATTGTGGTGAAGTTTCTGAAGCTTCTGGCTTCCACACCTGTTCCTCGTTGCCACCTACTGATCTGTCAGTGCTGAGATTCACCTGGTGCTACCACAGGTCACTGGCTAAGCACCAGCTGACCACAGTCCGTGGGTTCTCCACAGCACAGCATTTGCAGCTCTTCTGGGCTAGAAAACAACGCAAGAGAAGAGTGTGAGTTCCTTGGGATACTAAATAACAGGTTCCCCTCTGACAGAATGCAGATTGCTTGCCCTAATCCCAATCACAAGCACAAAACCAGTTACTCACACTGTAAAAGTAACAAAGGACTACCCCTAAAAAATACTCATGTGCCAGCCAACCAGCTAAGCCCTGCAACCTGCTCCTTCCCAGAGCCACCACCTCCAGAGGTCAGAGGCCAGTCTGTGCCCATGGCAGGGCAGAAGTGAGCTGCCCACACACAGGCACAACTCTGCTGCCTGTCCTGGGTCCCAGAAAGCCACTGACACACTGACCTTCAGCTCCAGTCCCTGGCTCTCCACCCCACAGGTGGCTCACTCTGGTTTCCCTGCAGGAAGACCTTCAGTCTCTCCTAGATGATTTCTTTTATTCCTCTCTCTCTTCATAAACCACAAGTCAGAGGTTGGCAGGGATGCTCACAGAAGACCTGGACTTCATGGATCAAGGGTGTTTCACACTGTTACCATCCCCAGAGGGCAAACAAGGGGGACAGAGCCAGAGCTGAACTGTGAAGAGCAGAGGAAGGAGAAAACCTCACAACATAATAGAGGGAAGAGAAACACTTGAAAGATGGAAAGGTCAGAAAGGGCAAACCCTGCTAGAGAGAAGTCGGTCTCCTAAAGGAGAGAAGAGGCAGAGCCAGACAGAGGGGGAATAAAAACAAACAAGATGACTGCAGGAGACAAAGGAAATGAAACCTTACAAAACAGCGGCTGCATATCACACTTGGAACTGTTCGAGACAAACAGAACAACAACCACATTTTCCTGCTGTGATCCATGAGAAATGAGGGCCCCTCTCTTTTCTGACTCACAGTCCCTGGAGCAACTATGGCTTTCCCTGAGCACTCATTGCCATTCCTCCATTGATGGCTGCTTTTCAACACTGTCTCAGAGAGGCCACAACCTCTTCTACTCCAATTTCTCCCAAAAATCACCACACAAACAACTACAGAGCAGCTGGCAGCTGCCCCCTAGGAATGCTGCTGCAGGGAGAGCTGGGGAGACCAACTTGGCTCCAGCCTGGCAGGCACTGGCACCACAGTCCTGCTCCTGCTGCACGGGGAAACCCTGCAACAGTCAGGCCTCCACTGCCCTCCTCTGTAAAATCAAACACAGCCCAGGGAAGCAGCAGAAGGAATGCCCTGCAGCGAAGATCTCCAGATTGTCTTACCTGCTCCCTCCTGGCAAAGGGATGGATGCTCTAAGAGCCCAAGGATCCCATTTTTACCATCTGTGTTACATTCAGCAGGCAGACAAACAGCCCCCATGAAAATGTGGCTTTATGTGAGGTCTGTCAGCTACAGTATCTATTTGGGAAGCTTCCCACTGCAAGGCTCTATTTACTGCTACAAGAGAAACACTAAAAGAATAAAACATTACCAACCATTACCGTTCTAAGGGAGGCAGAGAAGACTTTAATTGGCCGAGGCTGAAACAATTTGCACAGAAATACAAAACTGCTGGGGTTAGAAGGGACCTTTGGACATCATCCAGTCCAATTTCCCAATCAAGGAAGATGACACAGGAACACGGTCAGGTGGGTTTAGTGTATCTCAAGAGAAGAAGACTGCATGAGCCCCCTGAGCAGCCTATTCCAGTGCCCTGCCACCCTCAGCATAAAGAAGCTCTTCCTAATGTTGACGTGAAACTTCTTGTGTTTTACTTTATAGCCATTACTCCTCATCCTATTGCTGAGCATCACCCTCTTGACAACCTCCTTTGAGTACTTATATGCATTAACGAGATCCCCCCCTTACTTTTCTCTGGACTAAACAGGCTCAGCTCCTGCGGTCTCTCCTCATAAGACACGTACTTCAGACCTTCCATCTTTGTTGCCCTCTGCTGGATCCTCTCCAGTGGCTCCTTGTTTTGTCTCCCTAAATAAAGGAGACCAGCTACTTATGTAAAATCTCTGCATGCTACTTCTTGGTACAAATACCTCTCCAGTACACAGGGAGGAAGCAATTTCCCTTTCCCCTCTGCAGTTCCGTGGTTTTGTCCTTTCAGCCCCGGCTCCCTCTCCCTGTAGCCTCGCACGTGCACAGGCGGCTGTGGGAAGGCCCGGCCACTCGCACTCTTGGCCCTGCTCCACTCACAAGCTCGAGCCAGGGCAGGAGCTGGCACTGTCCTAGTCCCGTTCCAGCTGCTGGCAGTGTCCGGCTGAGCCAGCGCCGCACAGCCCCGCGGCCACACCGGGGAGGGCAGTCAGGAGCTGCCGACCCGCGGCGGTGAACGAGCCTTATGAGCAGCGCCGGTAGCAGAGGCGGCTCCTTTTCCAGCCTCTCAGCTCTCCCTGCACATGAAACACCACGAGCACGGTCGGGGCTCCCTTCGCCTGAGGGGCGACAGTGGGCCCGAGGCTGCTCTGAGGGGAGCGCGCGCACAGCGACGCCTCACCTCAGGGCTCCCGGCGCGGCCGGGGCACCGCCGGCTCCCTCGGGGGCGGGAGCCCAACCGGCTCCCAGTGGGGCTGGGGGCACAACCGGCTGCTTCGGGAACGGGGATCGGAGCCGGGGCAGGGGCCGGCGCTGTGGGCAGCCGCCTCCCGCGCGGAGGCAGGGCCGTGAAGGAGCAGCCGCGCACGAAGCCGCTCCCGAGCGCACCGCCGACCCGCCGCCGCCGCGCGCGTGAGTGACAGCCACGCAGACCAATCGCGAACCGAGCCTCGCGGACGCCAACCAATGGGCCTGAGGCGGCGTGCGGCGGGGCGGGGCCAGCGGCGGCGCGCGCGGAGCCGAGCGGCGCGGCTCGGCCCGGCCCCCGCGGCCCCGGGCGCGGCCCCAGGCGGCCGCTCCGCCCGCGCCCCGGGGGGACCGGACGCCTCGGCGGCAGCGCGCAGTAAGTGCCGGCCCGGCCGCCCCGGCGCGGGGGGCGCTTCCAGGGACGGGCGGGGTGGGCCGGGCCGCGCTGCGGGGGTGTCCGGCTGCGCCGTCCCGTCCCTCCCGCGGGCCCTGCGGGGCTGCCGCGGCCTCTCGGGGTCCGGTCCCGGGCGGAGCGGGGAGCCGGCTGTGAGTCCGCCTGGGCAGCGGGAAGGGCCCCGTAACCCGTTATCCGCCCGGAAACTTCTCGGGATGGGGAAGGAGGGACTTCCCGCAGGGATGGAGTGCGGGCAGCGGGGCAGGGGTGCTGCGCGCACGGCGCCAGGGCGGTCGCTGCCGATCCGGTGTGTGTCAGAGCGGGGTCACCGGAGCGGTGACATTGCTGGGGACGGGCCCGCGCCTGAGCCAGGGTGGGACGGGACCGTGCCCTTCTCAGACAGGGTGACAGCCGGGGAGCTCCGGGCAGCGGGCACACACGGTCGGGGTTTCCCGCTGCCCTGTAGCCTGGTCAGCTCTGGAGAGGTGAGGGAAGCCGAAAGTTCACCCACTGGGAAGCCACGTCCCGTTGCCAGCAGCAACACAGTGCCGCTTGTATTGCTGAGTTACTACAGATACTTCATCTTGGTGAAGTAATGAAGAAACTATACTTGTGATTATTCTTCATCCAGAGACCCTCTGACCAATTTTCATCCCTGTGACACAAAACTCTGTTCCTGTCACACTCAAAAGGAAACAGCAGCACAGAGATTAAAACCAATACTTCAGAAAAGGCACAAGGTGGGGCCCAGAACAATTCTCTGCATCTCAGAAGCAAGTAGCAGCTATCAGAGATCAGTTTGGAAATGCTGGCTTGGGAGAGAAACAAACGTGTTCTCCTTGTGTGCAGACCCAGCAGAGCCCAGCACAGAGCACTCCTGGCTGTGCAAAGAGCTCTCTTGGTGCAGGCAGTGGAACAATGCCAGCTGGCAGCAGCTGAGGATCTGGTTCCTCTTCTGTTCTATTTGTGCATGGACTGTGCTGGAACCTGCCAGTGATAGGTAGTAGCTGTCCCTGGCCCTACAGCTGCCATCAGAGGCTGGGAGTGTGCCCAGCCTGCAGATCAAACTTCAGCACCAGGATGACAACTGGGAAAGGGAGGTGGTGGGGAAAGATGATTCCCCCCAGCACTGCTATGTAAGCTGTGGGCCCTGGGCCATCCTTGCACTCAGCCTCCCTGTCTGTCTGTCTGCAGCCTGGACCAGGAGGAGCTGGGGAGCAGAAACAGCCCTAGCTGAACCTGGGAGTGGTTGTGTAAGCCAGGTCAGAAACCTCAGACACAGGACTGCTTTTAGAGCTAGGTCTGTGGGCATGGGAATCCTTCAGCATGAACAGGATGCCAAGAGCAACAGAGTCCCCATTCTCCCTTGACCAGAGTTTCAGCTGGCTTATTTCAACCCAGCCTTTTTTAGTTGTTCAGAACGGACACCACATTCAGCTGAAGGCCTAACCCATTTTGTTTCCAAAATTTAGGAGCTGTTCAAGATCTAGAGCCATACTCTGCAAAGCCCTTGGGCCTGCTTCACTCCTTTCATTTAGGCTCTTTTCCCACTCTTTATTTCCTTGGTAGTGACTTTTTAAAAAATGGGTATTATCATTATGGAAAGTTTCCCTGAATAGCACAAATTGATGGATCCTGCCTGAGCAGCTGCTCGATCTGCTCAATAATTCCTTCCCTTTCCCTGCTGGGCTGTCACTGCTGCTGCTGCTGTTGTTGTGACACTGATTTCAAATTTGCCATCTTTGTGCCCAAGTGTGCACTGCACCTGAGCTGTGCTGTGCTCAGGAATGGCTGGACAAGTCCAGGTGCCTGTGGTTTGTGCCAGTGAAGGGCACAATCCCCTTCAGCTGCAATGACTTACAATGTTAGGAGGGACAATGTTAGGAGGGACCAGACCAGAACTGTTACTATTCACATTTCTCTGGAAACTCCAAGGAGCCTGACAGTGTCTCCCAGGCACTTCAGAATTCCCCTGTGCTTCACAAAGTTGTTTCCAGGGGACTGAGACAGACCCTGCATGAGTGGCAAAGCATTTACCTGCTCAGGGAACTGCAGGACAAGTGGAGGTGAGTGCTCCAGCTGCTGACTGAGCACAGCACAGGCTGGTGCTGCTTGCCTGGGGTGCTTTCCTGCTCCAGCTGTTAGTGGCAGATGTTGATCATGCTGCTTCCTGCAGTTGTGGACAGCAGTAAGGCACCACAGTATGGGAACTGCACAGTAACCTTGCCTGGAATGGAACAGAGTGGGGCAGAACAATGGCTCATTTCTCTTTGCAGGCACATCTTTTTCTATTCAGAGCTCACTAACCCCTCTGTCCCAGCTGCATTCCAGCCCAGAGATGCAATGTCTGCTGAATTGCAGGGAAATTACCAGAGAACTGCCAGAGGTCAGCTCAGCTCCAGAGGTTGCTGCATTTTCAGGGAAGCAACTGATGGTCTAAAGTTACATACAGTGTTTTTATAAACAAAGTGTGCAAATACTTCCCACAGGCTCATCCCATGGTGTTTTGCAACTCTTGATCATTTGCACAATAGAAGTATGAAGCAATTAAAGCCTTTCATGTTCTCAGTATGAACAGATCTATCAAATTTCACAACTCCAATCCAAAATTGGACTAATTTTAAAATTAATATTGATAATTGCCAGTGCATGACTAAGCTTGAGTGGGTGCTTTCATGAGGGATTGAGAAATACTTGGTGTCTTTAGATGGAGGACTGATGCAACCCACTCTTTCCAGAGCACTGGGATGAGCAGCAGTGGGACAATGGATAGTGCAGGGACTCATCACAACAGGGAACTCCTACTTTGGATTAAAAAGCATCTTGAGATATGGATGCCTCACAGCTGAGTGTCATTTCACTGGGTATGTTCCCACTGATAAGGGGATCAATACAACTTTTCAAAAATTAAAAGCAAGAGACAGAAGCAGGAAGATGCTCTATCCTGGGGCAGATAGAGAACACCTGGTTCAGCCTGGGGCTACCAGAAACAAGGGTTCTGAGGTTGTCCCACACAGATCTCTAGGTGACTGCAAGGGGACAGAGCTGGAGTAATGATGGGAGACTTATCTCCAACTCCCAAGTGAATCAGGCATGACTTTGGGGGCTCTCAGCTTAAAAAACATTTTTCTTATTTTGAGCAGGCATTCAAAAACTGTGCTGGTGAATTGGGGAACTGTGGGAAAGGTTGTGCCTATCTCCAAGAGCTCTGCACTGCTCATTTGTTCTCATTCTGTCCTAGGCCAAGTCCAGTGTGGTTCCTACCCTGAGGAAAACCCATCAGTGGTGATGCTGCAGGAGAGGTCTCACGTGGGGCCCTGCATTGGAAGGGCAGCTCTGCAGTCCTGTAGCTGATGGGAGAGGACAACAGCTCAGTGACAGGAGCTACCAAGAGCTGGCAGGATGAGTTACAGCTCACCCTCTGTGCATGACCTGCATCACAGCACCCCCAGCACGGCCAAGCCAGAGCCAGGGACAGCTCTGGATGTGACTGTACCACAAACAGCCACCATAAGCCCTGAGACTACCACTTTCAACAGCACCAAAATCCCAGACATGGCCAGCACGGGACCTGGCATGAGCACCATGCTGCTTTCCTTTGGGATCATTACTGTGATTGGCTTGGCTGTGGCAATGGTAAGAGAGCCCAGCTAAACATTCCTGTCTCTTCAGGGTGGAGGGTGGCTAGAGGTTCTAGGACTGGTTTGCACTGAATAATTTATTTGCATTCTATTCAAGTCTCACCCAGAACTGCTGGGAACTGATAGTTCCTGAGATTCCTTTCTTTTTTAAGGCCTTTATCAAATGTTCCAGTATTTCTGCAGTCTCCCTGAGGTCTGATCCAAATGGGATGCTCAGCAGGCCTAGGAGCAGCCATATGGAGTATTAGTATTTGTTTTTAATAGCAATAGGAAGTTCAAGTAAAAGGAAAAAAAGCAGATTCTGTTCTGACTTGTTACCTGGAACAGCTGCATTGATTTAAACATTCTCTTGGCCCCCACCAGAAAGTTTATCCATATTAACTTTTCAACCAGACTGTTGAAACCATGTAAGTCCCCCCTGTGGACATGGGGTAAATATTTTTGAATTAAAGTGGCCTGAATCCATCTTAGCAAGACTCACCCTGGAGTGCATTTCCAAGGTTCTGCATGCTGGGTATCAGTCCTTGAGGGTTTGGTGTGTCACTAACCTTGCCATTAATGCTGTGGGCAGAAGCTTTCAGGTACCCCAGCTCTGGGCCCAGCACAGGCAGTACAAGGGCTGCAGCTCTCCTTTTATGTAACCAGATCATTTTCCTGCCAGCAGAGAAAAGAAGGTAGCAGCAAGCTCCCTTTCCTTGTGCAAGGAAGGGCTTCACTAACACAGCCATCAGAGGAGCCTACTGCAAAATTTCATTGCAGGCCCCAGGAGGAATTTTTCCAAAAGCCCTTAAGAAAACCTGGAAACAGTCAAAAGTTCCCAAGAGCAGCATCCAGCGTCTGTAGTTCTCAGGACAAGGCTGTGGAGGCCCAAAGCCTCCCTTTCTTCCCTGCACAGGCTGACAGAGGCAAGTCCCTGAGCATGCCCTCCCTCTTTGCTTCTTCCCTTTCTACTGGGGAGGGGGTAGCAGCACTTCTGTGCTGTAGGAAATCTGCATATGAAAATCACAAAGGGCAGCTTTTTCATCACTCTAAAATTGCCATATATGTCCTGCAGCCACAGAAATGTGCTGAGCTACACCTGGTAATACACCT